AGACTTCTTCCACGTTTCGACAGCAGCCCGCTCCAGCCACTGTAAGTGTCCAGCAGCTCTTCGCCTCTTCCTATTTGTGCAATTTGTTTTTTCGTTTATTCAAAGTAATTGTGTAATTTGTGTTGGAATGGAATGGATTGGATTGGTGTCTGATTTGGATTGTTGTCTAATTTGGTGAATGAATAATGTTTGGGCAGATTTGGGCAGTGTTGTGTTGGAATGGTTGGAATGTTTGGGCAGTGTTGTATTGGAATGTTGAAGTAAACATAAGAGACTAATTTCCATAGGAAAACTCGACCAGTCTTGACAAACTGAGAAGTCCTCAAAACGAAAATACCAATTTATTTTACAGATACCATTTTACAGTGAAGGGAAAACATAACCTTTTGCTTGAAAACAATCATAGTATGGAGTTAACTGAGACTAGGTATTTCCTGGTTGAGCCTTGTAACAACCATTAAGGTATGGCTTGTGCTCATATATTTTCTTCTGTTAAAGTGTGTGCCTGCATAGAGATACAGAGTTACATTTAGTCATGTGAATGCACAAGTTGAATCAAAGATCCTAACCGAGGTGTAAATCCTAGTTAGTTGCGTTGGCCAAAACTTTCGTAGTTAATTGTCTCTCATGGCACTGAACTTGATGTAGTGAAAGAGTAGTTGGACCTTTTAGTTTTGTCTGGTTCGACTCGAATTTAAGACATAAGGAAAAGGACTAAGATGGTAATTTTTAGACAAATTGTATTGAAAAGGGAAATCCTTTTGCAATTAGGTAAATGACTCCTAAAAAAAGGAAGAGAAATTTATCATAGGAGTTCAAGGGTCTTTCCTATAAATCCATGGCATTGCGTTGAGAATAATTGTATTTGGCACTAAGGTAATGTAAATTCGGGTAGAGAATTATGTGCGTTAGAGAGAGAAAATTGTTAGAAAGAAACTAGGAAAGATTGTTGGTACGATCTTATGTGCGTCGTGCTTTGATTGTTGTAGTTTTTGTAGGAAGAAGTTGTGGTAGTGAAGTAAAGATTGTATTATGAGATTTTCTCGGTTAATAAAGCCCACTTCTCATGTGAATGTAGGCGATTTGTCAAACTATGATTTAAGGGTGGCTTGTTGGAAGGGTGGGTGATTGATGGCATCATGAAAGGTGAGGCCTGGTGAATCTGCCTTTATGTTGAATCTACCAAGTTGCTAAACATGGATTATTTATATCATTGGAAGGATTTTTCTAGTGCTTGATCCAACACTATACCAATTGCTCTTTATGGACTCCTGGAATTGTTCTACCAAAAGAAAAATTATATATCAATAGAATGCAAATAAAATGTAAAGAATAGGACTACTAATAAAACAAAGTCCCTTCAACTGTATATCCTTAGTTTGTAAATATAAAAAATGAACCATGACTAATCACAGCATCAATGTAGTACTTGAAAGATTCTAAGATCCTTTTGCTGTCAATGTAGTACTTGTTTGGATGATTAATCCCAGCATCACATGATGCCCTAGGAACATCTTCAAAAGTCAACGTGCATGGTAACTGCATATACAATATTTAAAGGTATCTAATTGTTGAGGCTTCTCTTAAAAGTAATGGGAGAGTTAGAGAACTTGAAAGCCAATTACAAACTCAGTTAGAAAGGATGGGAGCATTAGAAGAAAAGGTTGAAACACTTCTCAAGTTAAGTCAACAGGTTAGAACGTTTGACCGTTATTTATAATGTGATAATATAACTTATTATATAGAATAATGTATAATATTTGTATTATTTTTCAGAATGTGAAGGATGGGACTTCAAATGGTTTTACTCCTCAGGTTTTTGTATTCAACATTATTACAAGTTTAATAAATATAAAATTAGATTGGAGTATACTAATAAAAATATTACATTTTCTATTTTCTATGAATTTGTAGTCTACCAAAGGAAGTGGTGTCGTAGGGGGTGTTGCATGCATGGAAAATGCTAGGTGTCAACTGCTGCATTGGTACATGTTTGAAAATGAAGAAGTTGTAGCAGAAGCTCGAATTGCAACAACAGACCCAAGTGCAAGGGTGCATCACTTGCCACTCGGAAGAGACTGTTGGAAGGTTTGGGTTGAGGAAGTGTATATGGATCATTTGACCTTATATAGACCTACAGA